GTTGTGGTGACCTGTGTAAGCAGACCAAAATCTAAGCCTGTGAATGACTCTAGGTTATGACCTTGAAACCTCAGAACAACCAGTCACAAGCAGCCAGCTGAGCTTCCAGCTACAAAGCGTCAATAATTCCTGTGCTTCACCTTTGCTATTCTCTGTGAGAATCCCCAGCTCTTGCTAGTGAAGTGTTCCTAACTACATTTAGTTTGGCATGGCCCAATTCCAATTGACAACATACTTAAATTAACTTAAAAAAAATTTTTAATATGCCTCAGTTATCTTTTTGTAAGGGGTTTGCAGCTGAGAAGAGTGATTGGCTCATATAACAGGCAGTCCAGCAGCATGAAAACTACTGCTTGTCGAACCTCCCGAGGGCTCTGAAGTTAAAAGGTGGCAGAAGGAGCAAAGGAACAAAAGGAGACAAGGGATGGTAGGGGGGAAAGGAAGAAAAAAAAATCAATAAGTAAATAAAGATGACAGAGCAAAGCAGCCGTTCCAGGGAACCACATGGACGCCTGCAGAGAATGCAGCAATATTTAATAATAACAGTTTTATAAAGTAATTAGCAATTTCATCAAAGTTCTCTTGCTCCTCCCTTTCTGTTCATTATACCTGCTGGATAAGTCCTAGGGACTCTACTGTGACATGACATCTAGGAAGGTCACTCAAGCACATTTTTGACAAATCAGTCACTTTAAATTTTTCATGGTCCTCCAATAGCCAAACTTAAGCAAAAACACTTAAAACATAGGGCTGGAGGGGGAAAGATTTGCAAGGTGTGAAGAGTAGCTTAAAATTTTCTGACTGAGAGCTCTTTCTGCTGATAATGCAGCTAGGCTTGAACTACAAGAAGGTTAGGGCCCCGACCCCCACACAGTCAGAAATCCACATGTATCTTTTGTCTCCCCCCGAAAGTAGCTAGTAAGAGCCTGCTGTTAACCAGAAGCCTTACTGATAACATCAATAGTTGACTAACATATGTGTATGTCATATACAGTATACTGTATTCTTACAGTAAAGTAAGCTAGAGAAGAGAAAATGTGAAGAAATCATAAGGAAGACAAAGTGCATTTACAGTTCCCCATTATATTTAACAATACCACCTGTTTATGTCATCTGTTTACAAGAAAATCCACATATATGTGGCCCCACTCAGTACAAACCTTCATCGTTCGGGGTCAGCTATGCTGCCACCATGTTTAAGTGTACTGATAGGTTTAGCATGGGGTGGGGAGGGCCTTCCTTTAGGTAACTGCAATCTGGACACTACAAGTGGTGAACGTGCTGGTAGGGGGTTGATCTGAATTTCTTCTCCTGAAGCCCTTCTGTAGCTACATTTTTGAACAAATGACAGTGCCAGCTTGTTTACTATATACCTGTTATCCAAGAAGTAGAGTTTTACAGATCCCACTGAGCTAGTAACTACTTGTAGTTTTATTGCATATAGAACAAGTAGTAAGAACTAGCCTGCAGAAATAGCAGGGGCCTTGTTCTCTGGTGTGTCCTGCTGAAGACAGTAATGCATGAGCTTCACCTGTGACATCAGTACTGGGGTCATTCTGATTTATGACTTTAAAAATATCCTGTCTCTGAATCACATTCATTAGGACATACTCTTTGAGGTTGTTTTTCCCTAATGATGAATTTGTGCTGATCCAAGCACACTTTCCAAGTCCTTTTGTTGCTGAGAAACTTTCATTTGTGAGATAAATGGCTGGTTCAGGGGCTGTCTGTGCAGAAATAAGAGAAGTTAAGTGGGACTCAAAAACACTGTGAAGTATATTTTTAAGCATGAGCTGAATTGCAGTTTCTGTCTTTGGATTGATTTTTGATGGTTTAATATGGGGGAGACTAAGAAAAGAAATACAAAATTAAATCACATTCAGTTATTCTTTTAATTACCCTCATGAAAACTATATGATATTGGTAATGAAATGGAAAATATAAGATATATCTCTTTGAATTCTGATTTCTTTCTGATTCCCCAACCTAATTTCAGCTCCAGGTTTCTCAAATTCAACATGTCCAAAAGCAAAGTCCTTACTATCGCTTTTCTCAGATCTCCACCTGCACATGTCCTTGGGTGTGATGGCTCCCAAGCTTGAGTGATCCTGGTCTCTCTCCTCTCCTCGCACATAGCAAGTCAGTTACCTTGTCCTTCAACTCTCCCTGTCAAATGACTTCTTGCTCTGCCTTCCACAATACTTCATTGCCTTAATTCTAGCCTTTATCATTTTACTCAAATGAATCCTACACATATGTGCCTCTTTCTGACCTACAGTATAAAGTTTACAATCTGGCTTAACATACATGATCCTTCTAAAGCCACTCTCCCCAGCATTAGCCCCATCCCTTCTAGCTACTTTCAAACAAAGTCCTTTCACAAATCCATGCCAGTTTTTGAATGGGCTCTTCTACCTTCTCTGCTGAGCCAGCATTTCTTCACCATTTGAAACCTGGCAAAAACGTTGCCTTCTTTGGGGGGGGGGTGTTCCCCGATTCTCCCCATCAGGCTAATTACTGTGTCCCCCTAACTGCCACCCTTACTTCTCCTGCACAGGATAACCATCTGCTTGTCTTTCTCCCTTGTAGGAATGATTTCATCAAGGGCAGGGACTGTATCATAGTCATTTATTTCTATTAATCAGTTAAGTGCCTGGTAACTAGCAGGATCTTGGAATTTTTCTGAGTGAATCAATGAACTTATGTGCTTGGACATGGTAATAGCATGTACTAAATAACTGAAGCATTTAATCACAAGCTGAGGGATTATCTATAATAGGACATGTCTTGAGTAGCTATTAAGAGATCTGTATTTACCTTTGAACCTATGCAGTATGAAGCCATTGAATTTTCCTTGTAAGTATGCCCCTTCTGTACTTTCTCATATACATTACTGGTCTTTCTTACCTCCCTCCCCTCCACACACACACACACACACACACACACACACACACACTCACGTGAACACATAACTATCTCTTTAGTGTTGCCCCTTTGTGAACTGCCTTACCAGACGGATGACAGAATTGGACTATCACCACCCAAATACTCAGCCTTGGGCCTTATTGTCTCTTTCCCTCAGACCAGGTGCCAGAACACCACAGTTCTTACTCTTCAAACTGATCCCCATCAAAGAGCTCTGCTTGAAAGCAATGGGGCCTATTACTCTTTAACAATCCTATGATCTCCACCCTCTCAGACAATCTCATCTGACAGTGGATTCCACTACTGCATCTTGGACTGACCACTCTATTGCCAGAGCAGAAGGCAAATCAGAGTCCCCAAGGACCCTAGTCTGCATACAGACAAAACAGCATGAAGGCCAGGCAGTGGCATTGAATCAGTTCTCCGCAGCTGGCTACACACTGCTGCCAGCACCACCCAGGACTAATGGTGAGGTAAAGGTCAGTGCCTAGAACAGGTCCCTATGACTGGGCTGACAGTGCTCCCTCCTCCATGGGAGGTCCAGGAGCGTAGCCACACGCATACAAGGAAAGTGTGAGCTAAGTTGATGGCAAATTTGGCTGCAACAAACTCATCATGTGATTAAAGGCTAGAGTTTGATAAATAAGGAGATTTAATGTTGGAATTTTCTTGAAGTAGAAAATGGTAAATATTAAATCCCCTGTGAAAATCACCCAGAGAATGGGAAGTAATCACTTATGAGCATTATAAGATATTTACACTGTGGTAAGTGCACAGAATCTTTCTTCTTCCTTTGCTCCATCATACACTAGTTTATTTGGGGTGTGAATTTTGCAAATTGTGGCACCAGTTGTTCATCTGTGGGGATTATTGTATTATTCTTCAACATTCTCTGACTACCTGGATGATTTGGAAGAGATTTGATGTCCTTTTTTATAATAGAGCCCTGGGAATCACTAAAGAAAGATTTACATTCGATCTGTATTAGAGTGATAGCATCCATGAGAAGCTAATTTGGCTGTGCCTTCCAAACCAAAAAGTTCAAGTTTAATCATATGGTTAATTCAGTTCTAGAATGTCCTTAATCCCATGCTCCCTCAATCCCATGCTCCCTAGCTGCTTGAGCAAGATTGAACCTGCAGTCAGTTGGCCCCACCCCTCATATCCACTACTAAAAGCCCAATCCTTTCTCCATATAGTTTTGTCCACAACCCCTCCACATTTATCATTCCACTAGCTCCATGCTAGAAGCCATGGAAGTGCTAAATGAAGTCAAAGTGATGAAGTTAGAACGTCAATTGGTTTGCAAGGCTCCCCAGAGGGAGGGGAGCCTTCTGAAAGTGAAAATGGAATATAAGAGAATGTCATGTGTTCATGATGAACCAAGGTGGGCCCACACAGTGTGGATATAAGATCTGCATGACAGTGCTGCTGGCTGGGTGAGCCTTAGTCTGTCATGATGTAGCAGCCGGTGTCCTGTTTGGTCAGAGGGCTGGAGGGCTTATGGCAGTGAGTGCAATGTGTGTAGAAAAAGTAGTCAAGGTGGAGAAATGGCCCTTGACATTGAGAAGATATATGATACAACTATTCATTGTCCCAACTATTCATTGGACTGGGTAACTTCTGCAGAACCCTAGACAGGGAGACAAAAAGAGAAAAAAATGTGTTTGGCTCTCCCTCCTCCAGCTTCCCTTCTAAGTCTACAACCCAGGCATTACTTTATGAATCTGTTTCTGTGTGCTAACACCAGTTCCTGTGTATCTTAGATCGAGGTATATAGATATACCAAGTCACACTGTAAACAAGAGCCAATGAATTCTTGAAAGCAGATACCCATGAACTTCTCTCAGTCATATTTAAAATCTGTTTTAACCTAAAGTTATGGAGACAGACTTGAAAGGAGACATCCCCAACCTTGCTCACATGTAAGTATAAAAAGGCACAAATTGGATGGATATTGATGATGTTATTTCTGTAGCGACATCATCCATAGACTCCTAGTGTCTTTGCTTTGCTTCCCTATAGTGATCACAACATAAATTACTTGTCTTGTTTGACTTCCTTGTTCACCAAAGTTGAGCAGATTGTGGCCGTTTTCAACGCTTCTACCAGACAAAAAGCTTGGGACCATTTCTCGAAAGCTCAGCGCAAGAACATAGACATTTGGCGAAAGCATTCTGAGGTTGGTGATTTTATTATTACTTTTTAACCACCATCACACAGCTGGATTGGCAGAGAATAGTGTGGCTGCAGCCATTATGGTTTTGTTAGAGTGGGCGGTCCTCCTGCCATTGTCCTGTTTCTTTGTTGGTTCCAAATTCAGCTCAGATTTGTTCCTCATCCAGAAAAGCAGCTGAAAATGCTTAGAGGACAGAGTGCTTTTCTCCCCTGTCAAGGGAGAAAAGATTCTCTCCCATTCATAGTAATGAGCCAGAAACAAACTAAGAGACTTTGCCCAATAAGTTATTTTTTCTAATATGTGACATAAAATTAAAAAAAAAAAACCTAGCTTTTAATTAAATACAGAGGCTTTTTCCAGCATTCTACAGTGTGATGATGACGGTTTGCTCTTTGGGCTAGAAATGGCAAGTATGCCTTCCCACCCACGTCTTCTCAGTCCCCTACAGTAGCCAGTAGGTTATGTCATACCTCTCTCCAGAGCAAACTCCTAAGGGGAATGAATGCCCAGGCTAACCAGATCCACCCTTCTGCATCCATGCATGTGTGAAGTGTGAGTATCTATTCTAAGGAAAGAGTCCAGAATGTGACCTTCCTTGCTGCCTAGAAAGGCCAGAATGTGTCATTGGTCATTGATCATCCAGCTGTTATTTTTAACTCCACAGTGTAGTGTACGCTTTGAACCTGTAATTTAAAAGTAAGTATACTGTCTTTGCTTCTTCTTTTCTTTTTAAGTAAGTGTTTTTCATCTGGATGCTTCTCCATCTCTAGCATGTTAATATTGAGTTCTCTAAATGATAGTCCCCTCTTTCAATATCCCAAACTTATAGAAGGTAAGGTTTACTTATTTAATGATTTTGGCTCACACTTGTAAAATAAGTGTTTTATGTAGAGTTTGAGCAACCACAAAATACTATGATATCAATCATTTGGTAGCATTTTAAGTGCCCATTAACTAATGCAAAATTATAGTTGAATACCAATGGCACTAGATGTAACATCCACATGAATACCAAATGAATTCTTTATTATCACTGTTATTATGGTGAATACTGAATGACTTCACAATAATGGGACACTTAAAATGCTAGTGCAATTTATTGTTAAAAAGGCCATTTTTTATTTTGTTCACAAATGCCTCCAAAGGTGGTTGGCGACTGATGCAGTTCTGTTCCTCTGTTCAAGATTCTAAGTAAGGAGGAGGTGGGGGTTTTCTTTAATTTTTCAGGGGCCATTAAAACAAGGTCTACTTATCTACCTGATGCTCTCCCAGACACTGAATCCAGATTGAATCAAGGTTGACTCTCAGGAGGAAAAGAGTTCCCCTCATTTATGATGAAACATACAAATGGAAGGTTATGAAAACACAAATTGGAATCCATAAACATTTATTCCAATTTGGGGGTGATCAATCATGAATTGTTTATTTTCTTTCCTTCCCCAAAAAAACCAAACATGAATAAAAAAAAATGTTGAAAGACAGGCAAGTGGCATGATGCTGAATAAATCTGGGCATAAAAAGGCCACCATATGTGTCCACCAACATTGTTTGTTGATTGACTTCACACTTCCTGCCATGTTTGATCCCCTTCCCTTCGCCCTGCTTCCTGGTGCTGGAACGTCCTCCCCATTCCAGAGAGGCTGGGAAGGCTTCCAGAGTTCGGTTAGGATCATATCCATAAGGCGTGATCTTGAGTTTTATTCCAAGGAAGTCTGTTTGCTCTGCTCTGTGCTAGGAGGTAGAAACAGGAGCTGTCCTGCAAAGCACTCCTTTTAGTCCTATGTGCTTCCCCGCCACCACTCCCCCCAGCTCTTTTGATATACATTAGGAAATAGAATTCTCAGCTACCTTTGATTTTCTCTCCTACATGTTCTTAATTGATTAAATACCAGTTGGTAATTTAACATTGTAGATGATTTCTCAGTTGCTTGTAAGCTTGATAATTGGCTTAATTTTTTCTGCATCCCCATGTACTGCATCTGTTAATTATCTGCAACACCTTACAGATTTATTAGAGTATACTAGTGATTTACTGCTGAACCGCAGGCACCCTGTGGAAACACCCTTAGCTTTTTTTATTTTCCTTCCATTTTCCTTTTGCCACCCTTCCCCACAAGAACAGCTACTGTATGACAGTTTGTCATTAATTGAAAGGACTAAACAACAGGTCCTTTCAGCTTCATTTATTCTTTCCACCTGATTTTTCCTTGTTTCAAGTGCTTTCAGTCCACCTCTGTGGGAATAGCATTCTTTGTTAGTAGAAAAATTAGCTGTCCACAACCTGAAAAAGCATCCCTACTCATCATGCACGACTTTCGCCTCCCAAACGCTATAGTGTTATTTAAGGTGAAGTCAACTTCTCTTTCTACTTAGTGGCCTGGTCAAGTGCTGGGCCCAGTGGCCTCTTAGGACTTCCCCCAATAGTGTCCTTGTCCCAGGGAACTTGCCTCTCTGCCTCCATGTTTTCCTATTGTCTGTACTAGTGATCCCCAGGCCTCAGAGTTGACCACACATATAATGCTGGTAATAAATAATGACCTTTCCATAATGCCTCAGTTAAAATCTGTGAGCTGAAGAGAGAAGAGAATTGAGCGAAGGCATCACACAGAGTAAGATATGTACCTATCATATCAAATAGGCTCTGGACCTGTGTTTAAAGTCACACCACTATATTATGTGTTGTCATGTAATTTAATTATTATTCATAGGTTTATTTTTTATAAAGTGACATTATCTTAGCTATTTGACTTTTATTTAGAAACTTTTGTTTAAATGAGGAAAGCAAAAGAATAATGCAGCCCATCCTCTGTTTTAAGATTTTTGTTTTAAAGACAATACATGCAAGAGAACAGAATGGTGAAGGATTCCTAAGTATATAATACACAGCTTGCTACAAAATAAATATTTTTTAACATAAATGATTATAGTGTTCTGATTTTTAGGCTCAGTAGTAAAGCATTTATTGTGTAATTGTTCACTTTTTATGCATTTTCATATACATTCTTGCATTCAAACTGCCTTGTTTTACTACTGTTCCCTCTTTATATGTGAGTACACAAAGCCTCAAAGAAAGTAAATGGATTGACTGCAGTCATTCCACCAGTGAGTGGAAAAAATAAGTTATGATCCTGAAACCCAGAAGTGATGCTAAAACAACCATCAAAATGAAAACAACCCAAAATGATAGCATGAAACATCAAAAGAGTTTTAATTTTGTCCTTCAACATTTCTTTGAATGCTCTGTGTGTGTGTGTACGTGCGTGTGTGCAGGCATATACACACATGCAGGGGCCCTATTTTGCATGAATAGTAATGGCCAATGGTGTCAACTTAGCCATCAAGCATCTAGCCTGATGCTAAATATGTATTAACTCATTTTATCCTTAAAACTGTTATTACCACACTACTCCTGTGAATGAATGGAAGCTAAGACAGACACACAGTGGGTGTAACCAAAGCTACCAGTGGGTCAGTGGTGGAGCAGGCCTTTTATGTTTCTAACCCCATGCGGTGAGTGAGTGCCTTCTATGTGCCAGGCATGGTGGTAGGCAATCTTATAATCCACACAGCATCCCTGCTAGGTGGATGCTTACATCCCCCCTCCCTTTTTTTCTTTCAACAAATGAGGAAATTGAGACTCAAGAGAAAGGAAATCATTTGTGAAGAGCCCTTGAATAGTCAGCAGCGAGCAGGGGTTTAACTCAAATCTGACACCAAATCTCTCTCCTCTTCCCCTCTTACACCCCCCGCCCCCACAGCTTCATCCTAAATTAGGTGAGGCAATGTTTGGGAGGTAAAAGCTGCAGATTGTAGATGTCCACGTGCCAGTCATAATACACCAGAGACCATTGGAAAGAGGTGTGTTGACAGGTGTCCGTGACTCTGACGTGGGGCATCCTCTACTTTCAGGAGCTCAGGAATGCTCAGAGCGAGCAGCTGATGGGCATCCGGCGCGAAGAAGAAATGGAAATGTCAGACGATGAGAACTGTGACAGCCCTACTAAAAAAATGAGAGTTGATGAATCAGGTAATGCTGATAACTGCCGCATACCCACGAGGTCTCATAATCATCTTCTAAGCCCTAGACGGACATACATATTGGGAAATGGCCATATAACTCATTTTTATTTGAGTTATACTTAAACTTTCATCTTTGAGTGACTCTGCCTTTTATTAATAGAACTTTAAACTCCTTCTTAGGAACATAGTGATTTAAAATGCACCAGTTGTTTCTCCATATGTAGGTCTGGGCCCATTATACTTTTTTTTTTTCCCAGGGATATTTGTCTGTTCCCATAAAAATCCGTTTCCAGAGTATGGCAGCCATGACTGATGCTGAAATACAGAAAAAAATTGGTTTCAGTCAGGGTGCTTACACAGAAATTGTTTCATGTGTAGCGAAGTCTTCTGGCTTCTGAGCCAATGTGCTAGAGGTTTAGAAATTTTTCCAATAAACTTTTGTCCACCTAACTTGTAAGCAAAGGGGTGGCCCCATTTGGTACCTAGAAAAGGAGCATCTCTTCCATGAGTTGTGAGAAAGAGAGAAGTTTGAAGAGAACCTTACTCTGCTTAATCTGTTTTAAAGTCTTTTCTGGAATTATATGTAAATCTCTCAGTATTGTAAAAGTAGGCAAGGGGAATGCACACCCAAACCTAGGACACACCAAGAGAGACAAACTCCTCCAAGGGGCAAGCATTCTAGAGGGGCTGGGAAGAACCATACTTGCCAAGAATGAAATTTAAAGGAAAAGTGTTAATCTGATCTTCTCCTCATATGTACCAGGGAATAAAACACACACCTTTTTAACAGACTCTGGTGATCAGGAACAGCAGTCCTTCGCTAGTTTGTTTGTAGAAGCCAAAATCAAGATCTTCCAGCTTGCAAGGTGGTGATAATGCTGAGTTTTCTCAGACTATAGAAGATAATGCCAATGGCATCCCCGATGAGGGCAGAAGAAGGCTCATGCCTCCAGACATCTACAGACTGGGGTTTCACTTGGCCTATGATTTTAAATACATAATTTGTTCCTATAAACCGTGTCAATAAAAGTAATAAATCAATGAAAAAAAAAAAAAAAAAACAGTGGGTCTTGAAAGTGTGATCCCTAATGCAGCTACATCAGTATCACCTAGGAACTTACTAGAACTTTAAATTCCCAGGCCCTGCTCAGGACCTACTGAATCAAACTACCTGGGGGGGAAGTGGAGTTGAGGATGTGAGATCAAGCAATCTGTGTTTTAATCCCACCAGGGTATTCAAGTGCATGCTGAAAATTGAGAACCACTGCCTCAGAAAATGTCCCCTTTGTGCTCAAATTCCATTCTTTTAAGTCTTTTAGAAGCTTAGCATAGAAATAGGTACCTTATCATTAATTTTGAAGCCATACATCCTTTGTCTGAAAAATAAATGAATCTAGCTAGCAGTGATGTGTCAACATATGTCTCTTATTAGACTGATACCAGATTCCTCAGGAGTGCTTTATTATCAAAACAAAGGAGTGATTTTTAGTTTGGCCACTTATAAAGTAAATGAGATCGTCTGGTAAATCAAATTATTTCCTAAAAAAAAGCTTTTATCATTTGAAGCTTCTGGATGAGGGGCAAGTTTCCATGAAACATGGATCCTTGACATCCTTGTAAGGTAGGTGTAGAAGAAAAGAATGGAGTTGATCAGAAATGCTGATTTGAACCTGTGGCTTCTATTGGAGGTGGGAGGTGACATTTTTCAACAACTTGCCAATTTCCCAAGTAAGAAATGTGTGTAACTAATAGCATGCTTGCAAGAGGATGAGAATAATAAAGACTCAGAACAAAAGACTCACAGAGGAGAGGTTTAATAGCAGGCCAGAAAGCATATACCTGCAGCCTCAGCCCCGATCTTTGCTGCGGGAGAATCCACAGCAATTCCCAGGACCGCTCTTCAAGGCCGGCTCCGAAAGTCTGACTGAAGAGCCCTCTTCCTGACCTCTCTGGGTTTTTTCCCCCGCCAGGCATCTGATAAAGAGCCTGAAAGGTCAAACCTGAACTTTTAGAAACTTTCTCCAGGCTTTGTACCTGGTTAGCAAAATGAATAAACAGACAACCCAGGGTGTGTTCTCTACCAGATGCTGAGGGAAGATGAAAGAACTGTGGTTCAAATGCCAGATCCCGAGGAGTTCAAAGGCTTCATGCTTTTCAAGATGAGATGGACCAGAGAATATGGTGTGTGGTTTATGAGGAAAACATAGGACTGATTAGTGGAGGAGGGAAGGCATTTAACCCTTTCTATTCTGTGGGGCCCTAAAGACCCAGCCACACAGCAGGCAGCTGTTCTTCAGTCTCGCTTATATGGGGACACAGCCTGACAGCAAGAATTCTCCTCTGGTCTTTTGACCAAGCCTCAGGCGGATCCCTGTGAACAAACTGCTGCTTAAAGCTGGGATTGAGGCCTCGCAGCCTGAGGGAAACATGCCCTTCAGGCATCTCGTTGGGTGACACATCACTCATTTTTAGTTACAAGTTTGCATCTGTCACTCACCGAGGAGCAGGCCTATCAAAATATAGCACTACAATTCACCAACAGGGTAATTGTCAAGCCCTGAAGTAGAAGTGAAATTCTCTGTCATTTAAAGAATCCTGGCCCCTTTAGTTCCTGCTTGAATAGTGGGATTTTGCCTCCCATGTCCTGAGCAGTAGCTGAACCAGGAATTCTAGGTGATTTCAGGGGAGACCAGCCCCGGAGGAGACCCCTGCCTGTGCCAGGACAATGTCTAGGTGGCACTTCCCAAAGCCAGCTCCCGTTCAGACCCATCCATGTCTCTGCTCTCCACCTCCCCCAGAAGCAGAAGCTGCATTTTATTTCTGAGGGGACGATGGAGAGAATTGGCTTTGTTTAGTTTCTAGAAAAAGACACAATTTACTACGTGACAACTCATATGATACCTTATGTTACTTTTTTTCTTTTTAATCAAAGTTTTGCAACATATCTTTGTTTTTTTCTGGTCATAAAGGACTTTTCATTGTACTTTTGGCTCTCCACCACATAGAGTAATTTACCATTGGGTCTTGCACTCAAGTTCCCCGAGACTGCCATGACTACAACACAACCACAGGCGACTGTTCATTTTCCTCATCCGTTGAATCTTAAAGGAGAAAAGGGGTTTGTTGGAGCAAAACCTAGATGTTGATAACAATGAAAATGAGTTTTGTTACCAAATTTGATAATTAAGGCAGTTACCTAAGCATTAGTTCAAGATTGGCATCCTACTCCAAAGCCTGTGAATACAATTTTTGACAAAAATCTAAATTTATTGTGTATAGTCGTCCTCCTACTGTAATCAAGCCAGACTTTTAATAGCCAGATCTATTCCTCCTTCTCCCCCTCTCTCCTTGTCTCCTTTTCTTACCCCCTCTCTTCTCTCTTCTACTCCCTCACCTTCCCCACACACACACCTCCTACCAGGTTGGCAATGGGGATGGGGCTGGAATGCATAAGGAAGAAAAGGCAAAATAAAAGAGGACATCTCTGCTAGATTTTGAGTTCTCTCATGGACAAACCTGATAAGTTGTAGTATCATGAGCATTAACATGAGTTCATGTAGCTAAAACGCTTGTGCCTTTCCTTTACAGTTTGAGCACATCATAAATTATCAGTAAATATTGACTCTTTGTTAACATTATCTTAGACTTCCTCCAGCACTCAGCCCTGGTGCTTTCACCAAACAAGTTCTCAGTGAAGGTTTGTGGACTTCAATTGTAGATTACCCTTCTTCTGTGTCTTTGAGTTTGATGCCCTTGTCCCATAAGTACGTAGGAAGAGAGAAGAGAGTAATCCTAAGAACATTTACATTATTTACATTGAAATGGCAGGTGTGAGGAAGCACATTCAAACATGGACAATTCATCTTCTCTGCAATGTTCAGGACTTTAGACATACAAAATTCAATGCCAGCTACAGAATAGGTTATGGCCCAGAATTCAAATTCGGCCTCATTCTAATCTAACAAAAAACATTTGATAAGAACCTTCTCGTGGTTGAGGCACTGTAGACGCAGAGAAATGGAGAGGGTTAGACTCAGTCTACCCTGCCCTCCAGGGTGTGGGAGGCTTTCTGAAGAGGAAACAGTAAACATTTTAAGTTGATAAAAGTGCAATGTCTAATAGTACATTTATCCTAAAGCCATTAATTTCAGTTGAGTATAAACCAAAATGAACATCCAGTGTATGCACCTCATTCAGTATTTGGTGAGTGTACGTTGTACACTGAGGGCAAATTTTAGAAGAGTGAAGCTAAAAACATCCTTTGCTTAATAGAAAACCCTTAAACCATTCCATAATGCACACACAAATGCTCTTGGATTTTAATTACACGTCATTTAAACTCTGAGTTCTTTTAGGAGCAAACACTCTTTTAATTAGTGTTTTCTGGGTTATCAATTTTCCATGGAAACTTACCACAACATAGGTACATTTTAAAAATTTCAATAAGAAGTCAAACAAGGATTTTCCAAGTCTTTTAGCCAACCAAGTCAAATAAAGGATTCATAATTAATTCCATTGGAATTAATGAATACTTTTATATGTCACTGAAAGCTTTATGTTAAAAAAAAATGAATAATAAAGTTCTTTCTGGCTAAGCCCCTTGTCCTTTTAAACACCAGGAATGACTTCATATTTCTGATTTAGTTTTATTGCCTGCATAGAGTGCTTTCAAAAGTCATAAAGGATATCCAACAAGGAGGTTACAACCTGGCATTCCTGAGACAAGGTTCCCTCTTTCCCCTGAATTCCTTGGTTACAGAGAAAGGGATGACATGGTGCCGAGAGGATCCTGCAGGAAGAGGCCAACCAAAGATGGCCATAGCACTCACAGCTGGTGGCAACTTCCTTTTAGGGAACTTTGCATGTGGGGTAAGCAACCTTGTTCTGGATTGCTCAGCACTCAGCAGAGGGACAGGAGCATTCAGGCATGGAAGATGAGAAGGGTTGGTCTGAGGCCACATGTGAGGGCTGAGCTCCCACACCAGCAGATCCCGCCAGGTGCATCAG